CAAACACACACTCTCTCACACACTCACTCACTCACACACACACAAACACACACACCACACGCACGCACGCAAACAAACACACACACTCACACACAAACACACACACAAACACACACACACACGCACATACACATACACACACACACACATAAGATAATGAAAACACTCAAGCCGTTGTGCTGTAGTATTTTAGCCGTTTTTAAGAAAGCTGTGGTAAATGAAGGGTTAATGAGTGTATCTGTCTTCCGCAGGAGCAGCTGTGAAATTCCTGCCAAACACTGAAGCGAAAGCAATTAGGAGCGACTGATCTGCAGGGAAAACCACCAGTGAGATACAGACTCCAGCACTGTATCACTGTTTCAAAGACATAACCACGGTTCTTTAAATTAAAACATCAACAGTTTGAACAGTTAAAAAAAAAAAATAAGCAACATGAATTTCACAATTACTTCCATGCACTTTTTATTTAGTCATTATAATGTACAGTATGTGGAAAATAATGTGTTTTTTTAACTTTAAACTGCATAAACACATTTCATTACACCAAATACACAAAATAATGTTCTTTTTAGCAGCATCATATGACCCCTTTAAATTAAAACATCAACAGTTTGAACAGTTAAAAAAATAAAATAAGCAACATGAATTTCACAATTACTTCCATGCACTTTTTATTTAGTCATTATGTTAGGATTATTTTTTCTCATGTGTATAATAACTACTATATTCATATTTTACTTCTTAGATTTAACATTTTGAATCAATTATCTGAAGTGGCTGTTTGGAATATTTGAAATGATTCTGAAGTGATTCAGTGTTTGAATCACAGTTCATAGAAATCCATCCGTAATCCTCTATTTTGGACCTATCAGAGCAAAAAGAAACAAAATATACGCTCATATTTTGTTTGAAATATAAGTTAGTCAATATTAACTTGTTTAAGAAGTATTGTATTAAAGCAATATCACACTCTCTATCATGCTATGATCATCTGCAGCTGTATTAATCTACTCTTTATTAATACCACAGCTACTGACCGAATATACAAATAAATGGACATGAATATTGATTCGAGTTAACTCATTGTATTATGTGGGAAGAAAGAAACTAACACAGCTATCAGATCCCCTTACTGTCAGACGTTCAGCAGTGAACTGAAGAAGTGCATAAAAACCCCAAACGCACACCCAGTCTAGACCGACATCAGACAGCTATAAACCTGAGTTTGTTTCTGGCGCTGTAGATTCCTCTGAGGGAAGAATCATTCTCAGACAGTACGAGAATCTCAATCAAGCAAACACCAGACAGGAATCACTCCGAAACAGCAGCTTTCACTGACCACTGCTGGAAAAACCATTGAAAAACTCAGAAAAACCTGTCTCCTATGAAACGCAGGACCCTTAAGTTGTTGGATAATCCTTTTCCATCAACACAACAAGATAAAGTCAACTCAACAACACAAAACTAGATGTTCAATTATAGATGATTACAGATGCTTAATTATAATTAATAATTCTGTCTACACTTGAAGTGCCCATGAAGAACCACAATGTGATGCAAAATCAGTTAGTTAGAAATTAGTTTCTAGTTTTACTTAGTATATCATACATAGACATATCATACTGATTTATTTTCTCAGAACTTATTTATAAATATAATATGTAAGAATTAATTACACCAAATTTTATTCATTATGTATGAAGTGTTACATCAAAGCTCTTGATGGCATAGGGTTATTATAGTTAGCTAAAACTAAAAATAAAATGAAAACTTTAAAAAAAAAATCAATTTTAGTTGTTGTTTTGAAATTAAAATAAACGTCAACTGAAGTTAAATAAAATATATTTTTTTTTATTTCAGCTAGTTGCCAAGGCAACATTTTTTTATTTTAATTTAGTTTTTGAATATAAAAAACTAAATTTTATTTTTAATTTTTTTTATTTTTAAATAAAATAAATTTTTAATTTAATTTTTGAAATAAAATAAAACAACGTTTTTAAAATAACAAATTATATTAAAAAGATGGCGCCAGTTAAATACAAATTAATAAAAACTATATAGACAAGTATAAAATAACTAATTAAAAATTACAAAAACAACAAAATTTTCATTCTTTAATTTTTATTTTTTAATGTTACTTTTTTATTTTAGTTCAAATGAAAACGGAAAATTTAAAAATGAAAACTGATTGAAAAAGACTTTAAGAGTATCTCAATGATATTAAAATAACACTGATACAGACTGTGTCTTAAATGTTTTTGGAAGTAAAAATATGTTCTCTAAACTATGAGCCTCAAAAATAGACCATAATGTGCTCTGCTTCTTTGTGGGTAGGTAATGTAGTAAACTAGTTAGTTACGTCATCGTTCTGCTCAGTTTCTCCCAGTTCAGCAGCAGGTCCAAAAGCACCATTTCAGCTCATATGGACTCTAATGTCACATTTTGCAGTTTAATAAGGGTGCTGAGACAATCGTAGAGGATGGTGGAGTCTCACCTGCTGATTTGGGGGTGAATTTGTCCCTGTTTGCAGCACAAACGGCCAGTAGCCGATACCCCAGATCCATGTCAAAACCCTGCTGGCCTGCGACACGACTCACCACCTGACACACAGACGCAAATAATATTCAAACATCACTGAAATCTCAGCATTCATGCATGCATGCTTTGTCATAGTTAAATTGGGTGGTTGCGGGTTTGGGAATAAAATCTCTGTCCTGATTTGCAAACCCTCGTGAGGTCGGCCCACGTTAAACAGCACCACACCCTGAAGCCTGAAGCACAGACGTTCATATCTGCGTCTTAATTACAGTTAAACACACATCATGTGTGGCTAAAGCGCCTAATTAAACATCTGAGGGAGGTTTGGTTTAGCCCTTTTTCCACATTCTCCTTAAATGCAGCTCAGATCTGCTCTTTCTCTGCTGTAGAAACTGAAACAGCAGAAACACTAAATCAGACATTACTGCACAGAGTCACTTCATAGAATAAAAGTGTCACGAAGCAATAAACTTTAGGCCGACTGAATAAAATTAAGCACATCGTAAATAAATTCAAGCAGAATACAACAGAAAAGAACAATCAAACAGACTACAATATAACAGAGCAGAACCATTTCAAATAAAATGAATAGAATTAATTGGCGCAGAATAGAACAGAATGAAATAAAAAATTATTAAAGCACAATAGAATAGAAAAGTAGATAGACGAGAGCAGAATAAAATACAATAAAATGAATAGAATAGAACAGAAAAAACAATAGGCCTACAATAAATTAAAGTACAACAGAAGAGAATAGAATGGAGCAGAATAGAAAAGAATAAAATGGTACAGAATAAAGTGCAATAGGATAGAAGAGTAGAATAGAAAAGAGAAGAGATCAGAACAGAATAAAATAAAATAAAATAAAATGCATATAATATAATAAACTGGAGCCAAACAGAACAAAATAAAATAGAATAAATTAACAAACAGAAGAGCAAAATAAAGCAGAGCAGAGTAAAATTAAATAAAAATAACAAATTGGGGCAGAATAGAAGAGAAATAATAGAATAGAATAGAATAAATAAAAGCACAAAGGAATAGAAGAGTACAACAGAAAAGATTTCAATAACACAGAGCTGACCAGAATAGAATAATATAAAAAGAATAAATTGGACCAGAATAGAATAAAATTGTATATATTAATCTTTATATTAATCTTTACACAAGGTAACTGTCGGAGCTGGTATAACCAATTGTTCATATTACTAACAGCGGATGAAAGCTGACTGCTGATTGGTTAAAGGG